CTTTGTTCTGTCTTTTTCTTGCTTGAGTTAGAACTTTGGAAAGTTGAAAACTACTGCTACCCACGATGTATTGTAATCTTTTTACAGTCGAAATGGTTCTTTACCGATTAGCTGCTGAAATCAAAAGTAAATAGCCGAATTATGTTCGAAAATTTATCTGACTCGATTCTGAACAATGCTTTGGAGTTGCCATTACAAAATAAATTCACATTTTGGCAACTCGGCTTCTCTAAGTGCTTAAACAAAAGATTACTTTTCTGGTCGACTGTTGATGAGTTGTGCTACGCCAGTCCCCATCTCAAAACAAAATTATGCGACATTCGGATTCATGCGTGCTCTGCGATTCATACCGAATGGACAGTGACCTGCACAGGCAGCCATATTTACTTCGTATTTTGGAATGCTTGGGTCAGCGCGCTGCTCGGAACGACGAATAAATATTCATCAGTCTGGCAAATATGACCTAACGATGTGATGTGCTCACCAGTGCTCTTCTTCTGCATGTTCCAAATCTGTATGTCAGTCGAAATGGGGTTCGCAGCAAACAGTAAGAACCGTCACTGGAGGTATTGCTCAAGCCGCTCGCAAAATGAGTCCCAGTTCTGAGTTCGTAGCACTTGATCCTGAAGCAGTAAAGGCAATGAGTGATAATTTGTTATTTATGCTGCGTTTGAATTACTACCTTAAAAAATTTTTACAATAATTTCACAAAAATTACTCCCTAAGTGTCCTCAAATCTTATCCGCCTGTTAGGCTACGCACCATTCTTCACGACGTTCGAAGCAAACGACTAGGCGGTTAAGATATGTCGAATGTAGCCGCTGTAAATTGCAGCAGCTGTTTTTCTCAAGTACATGGGCTATTAAAATTGACAGGTGAAAAGTACCACCATAAAGGAACAGCTTGTTTCATTAATCGTTCTGCAATGCACCAATCGCTGAATATGTAATAGCTTCATCTGGTCCTGAGATGTTATGCCGTATTCTATTTATTAAGCCATCTGAGCCGGGTTTGCAACAGATGGAAATGCCAGAATCAGATATTAGCAATTGGCCACACCTAAAATACATTCATTAATTAAGATGATACAGGCAAAAAATAGGAGAAACATGCCTCTGACAGTGCATATCATGGAACCTTGGAATCGTCTGCAACTACCTCTGACCCACCGCGATTCAATGTTTCAGGTGTTATTTCATGTCTCGTTTGAAGTCCCAGTCAGCAGTATCTTTCCATCATCGGCTGCGTCACTGCTACTCCCAGAGGCAATACTGTTACTGGAGTAGCAACAAACAGTATTGTAATGTGGTATTCTGAGGCATCAACTGCAGTAGTCGAATCATTGAACGTCACGTCTCTCACTTAATCAGATTCTTATACATGGTGCATGAAGGGACTGGACTGGCTGTTACCTATAAGTTCAAAACGGCTTTTATTAAAACTGAAGTGTGTAAGCCATACCACAGTAAATGGTTCCCTACGAAATTGCGCTTCATAACAAAGAAAAGCCCCTTCTGTTCCAGAATCTAAAAGAAGACGTTACAAATCATAGAAAGTAGAAAATAAAAATGTTTACTTCCTACTTTCTCATTCAAAGTCTGTCACCCAGCTTAGTTCGTCATCAGCGTTGATAAATCATATTGATTTGCAGCAGACCGAGAAAAACAGAAGCATAACTTAGTCTCTTTGCCAGCGGTTGTTCAGTTTCCGAAAAGGTCAGAAGGCACTTTTCTAGAGTGGCTGCTGGCAATACTCTTCCTTCGAAAAGTTTATGCAGGATAAAGCTCACCTAAAGGAATCGCAATATAAAGATTTTGTCTAACCTGACGCTTTTGGAATAATTTCATGTTTATTCATCAGCCATCACATTTCTCGAAATAAAATGCCATGAATTGTTAATTAATACTACATGATAAGACATTGTTCCATCTTTGATAGGTAGAACTACAGTCCACTCACTCCTGTTCTCTACTTGTAATAGTTTGAAAGAGGTGAAGTGCCGATTCTTAAGTTTTGCACAGCAAAAGAAGCAAGGAAATGCAATAAACTCTTGTAATCTTCTGCTAATTTCAAATAGAAAGTTTCAATGAAATCGAAGTCTCTTAAGATGTTTCAGTGAAAATGAATCACTTATCTGAAGCTGAATTTCAAACTGTTTCATGAATTAAAGTTGCTTTCTATTGGCATTTAAAAAATTTAAATTTTATTTTGGAATGTTTTTATAAAATTGAAAAAACAGCCTGAAAAGAGAAGTCTGAAATATATCTACGTTACAATATGAAACAAGCTATTAAAGAGTGCATATTTAAATCAAATACCAGCTATATTCTAAAAGCAAATAGAATGCGATAACTGAATCACGTCAGCGTTGAAAGTGTTACTGTGTATACTCATAAGCATCACGTATTCAGAAAATGAGTCTTCAACTAAAAAGCTTTCAAGACGAACTTGAAACTCTGTGCGAAAAATGATAAACAAAGATGGAATACAAATAAAATGCAGGCTGACAGACATACAGCAAGTCCAAGAAAACAAATATTACATCACCTGAAAAGCCAAGTGCTAGGCGACAGCTATAGAAAAGCGTGTAAATCATATCGTAACAAGGGGAAAGAGCAGCTAATGACAGCAAATAATAAACAGCGCAATGTATGTTTAAATATATAAACTATCCGTTGTAGTCTCAGGTACAGCGATGAAGCTGGAAGAGCAAATCACATGCGAAAGATTAAAAATATCGCACAGAAGCTCGCAGAGATATTTCTGCCGATGAATACAACTAATAAGTTTACGTAAAGCGATCCTCACACTGGTGTGAGTAGGAGCAACGCAGAAAGATTAATGAAACGTCCAGAAAATATAATTCAGAATAAACCTGGATTGGACCTCAAAAACCTTCGATTGCCCTACGTCAAAAAGTTTCGCAAAAACGAAGTTCAGAGAGGATGAGAAGGAACAAATTATCAGATATAACGAAGCCGAAATGCAAACAATGTGCAGACAAACAGTGCAAAAAACAGGCGCAAATAGAACTGGACTCAACGAAGATAGTATTGTGAGGAAGAGTCAAAGCAAAATGGTCAAAGAACATGATTTGATGAAAGAAGAAAGAGGATAAAAGATACATCCAGCTTAGCCCAAGCAATGATAAAATGACAAATGAAGAAGTACCAACTTATGAAAAAATCAAACATTGCGTGACGGGACAGATGTAGCTGCAACTAGAACGGATAGAAAGCAAACAAAACGCTGGAGAAAACAACACAACAAAACATTCTATATGACATTGGCATACCAAGAGGAAAGACAAGAAACTACCTGCGTTTAAAACAACGAAGCTCAGTGTGGAGTGATGATGGTATGTAGAAGTACTCTGTTCCAGACTCGTTTTATGTTTTGTCTATGCTCAAATGCTAGCACAGGATCGTAAACGTTTGAGACAGCGCTTGACGCGTCAGCCTCTGTGACCATTGAAACTGTCTGATTTGTTTGGTAATATTTTTTTGTTAGTGAGTTAAGATAAGTTAAATGCAATAATTCCCCCTTCGTAAAGAAGACCTTTGCAAATTTCGCTCTGTCATTAAAATTGCCGGTAGAAAAGGTCCGTTTTCTTATACGCATGCCCTAGACCTTGCTATAAAACAGGCTGTAATATCTATCATTAAGCTTAGTAAATCTATTATTATGATCCTCTCCATCTCCTCTACCGAGCTCATTCAAAATGTACTTCTAGATCTGATTCCATAAATTCCAAATGTATATGCATCTACTCGGGAAATGAAGCATGTAGAAAATTCGCAATCCAGCATGTAACCGGGACTTTCAGAATAAAGAACGGTATTGTCGAACGTGCTCGAATCGATTCTCTCATATCAGACCATTAATTTAGAAGTCCAACTGCAATCATTTTCTATCCGTCAATCAGTTTTTCTCATCATAACTCATTAGTCCTTGTTGCATATTTTGTTCCTTCTTGGGCATTACATATATTGTTGAGTCGATAGGTCAGCAGTTGTTGTAATGTGATTCGGTGATAGTTTTACATCGCATTTCTACTCATTTCAGCAATGACCTCTTTAAATTGACTGTTTGATATTTGATCTAGAACCTGTTAACTCTATTTCTGATTTGAACCGTTTTATTCCAGATCTTTTGAAACTATCTTAATATCAACCACGCGCTACTAGCGATTTTACTTTAAAAGTGCCAAATTCTATAATGAATCGACCAGGAAACCTTAATTGGGGTATACTTCCTAAATCTTAAACTTTTTTGTTAATTTGTACTTTACAATTTATTACTGTATTAATCTAAAAATTTTAGGTTTTAAATTGCAATTATTGTGATCTCATGCTTAGCCGGAGTGTTAAATAGATATTGTTTTTATTTAGTTTTTAAGCATGGAACTGCATAAAATTGCGGATTCAGTTTTTCAGTATTTGAATGTATTATTGATATTGATATTTTGGCATTTTGGCATCAAGCTGTGTCTGAAGATTGAGTATTTTACTCATGCATTCGTTTGGAGACATCATAGAAAGTTTGTTTATACCGGCTAATCATTCGGAAGGTTAGCTATACTGATATTTGGCCTGCTTATCAAGGGTGTTCTTCAAGCTAGAG